GGCTGATGAATTCAGAACAACAGTCGACGACCTCCAAGAAAGGATGGCCGCCATGAGCACTCGAATTGAAATTACCATGAAAGCCGTGGAAGGTGTCGCGGCTGGACAAACTAGTACAGGATCCAACAAACTAAGGTTCCCAGACCCTAGAGCCTTCAAAGGGAATCGGGATGCCAAAGAGTTGGAGAACTTCATCTTTGACGTCGAACAGTACTTCAAAGCCACAACGGCTTGTACCGACGACAAGAAGGTGACTGTAGCCGCGATGTACCTCATAGACGACGCCAAACTGTGGTGGCGTACGAAGGTGCAAGACATCGAGGATGGATTGTGCACCATCGACTCATGGGAGGACCTCAAGAGAGAGTTGAGGGAACAATTCCTCCCCGAAAACGCAGGGCATATAGCAATGGAGAAAATAGTAGCCCTGAAACACACTGGAAACATACGGGACTACGTCAGACAATTCTCAACCCTGATGCTGGATATCAGGGGCACAGCAGAGAAGGACAAGGTGTTCTTCTTCATAAATGGTCTACAGCCGTGGGCCAAAACAAAGATACATGAGAACAGGGTCCAAACCCTAGCTGCCGCAATGGCCTGCGCCGAGAGACTTGTAGACTGTGGGAACGAAGCAGGATCCCAAAGAAGAGCGACACCAGCCCCAAACAATGGGGGCAAACCATACAGACCACCGGGCCAGCGAAATGGAAGCCCCAACAGACCGAATGGATGGACGGATAGACCTCCTCAGAACAATCAAGCGGGGACATCTCGAGGGCCTTACCATCAAAGGAACCACCCGACGACGCCTTTGCAATGCATGCTGTGTAAAGGCCCCCACAAGGTATCCTACTGTCCTCACCGGGCCTCTCTCACTGCACTTCAAGTGTCCATTCAAGAGAGCAATGAAGCAAGGGTCGAGACTTTGCTAGACAAGAAGGAAGATCACGACAACCCCCGAATGGGCGCACTCAAATTCTTGTCAGCCCTCCAACGGAAAGTCGAACCGAAGGAGGTAATAGAGAAAGGGCTCATGTTCGTGGATGCCACAATAAACTCTCAACCGAGCAAGAGCACTTTGATAGACTCTGGAGCAACCCACAACTTCATTGCCGATCAAGAAGCCAGAAGATTGGGACTCACCATAGGAAAAGACCCGGGGAAAATGAAAGCTGTCAACTCTGAGGCCTTGCCTATTGTGGGAGTTTCTAAGAGAGTCCCCTTCAAAATAGGGGATTAGACTGGAGAGCTAGACCTTGTCGTGGTTCGCATGGACGACTTCGACGTGGTACTTGGGATGGAGTTCCTCCTAGAACACAAGGTCATCCCAATGCCATTGGCAAAATGCTTGGTGATCACCGAACGTAATCCCACAGTAATACCTGCAAGCATCAAGCAACCAGGTAGTCTTCGAATGATCTCGGCCATACAACTGAAAAGGGGACTTGCACGAGAGGAACCTACATTCATGGCCATACCACTGATAGAAGAAGCAACCACCGAAGAGACTGTCCCAGAGGAAATCAAGGAAGTACTAGACAGCTATACCGACATAATGCCGGAGAGTCTACCACAAACACTACCCCCTCGTCGAGGCATTGACCACGAAATCGAACTCCTTCCCGGGGTTAAGCCGCCAGCAAAGAACGCATACCGGATGGCTCCACCCGAGCTAGCCGAATTGAGGAAACAACTGGATGAGTTGTTGAAGGCGGGATTCATTCGCCCGGCAAAGGCCCTTTATGGAGCCCCTTTACTGTTCCAAAAGAAGAAGGATGGGACGTTGCGTCTGTGCATAGACTATAGAGCCTTAAACAAGGTGACAGTACGCAACAAATATCCTCTGCCGATAATATCTGACTTGTTCAACCAACTTCACGGGGCCAAGTACTTCACGAAGTTGGACTTACGATCAGGATATTATCAAGTACGCATTGCCGAAGGGGACGAACCCAAGACGACGTGCGTAACTAGATATGGGGCCTTTGAATTCCTAGTAATGCCCTTTGGCTTGACAAACGCCCCAGCTACGTTCTGCACGTTGATGAACCAGGTTTTCTACGAATATCTGGATCAATTCGTCATAGTGTACCTCGACGACATTGTTGTTTACAGCACAACCCTCGAGGAACACAAAGTGCATTTGAAGTTAGTGTTTGACAAGCTCCGGCAGAACCAGCTGTATGTGAAGAAAGAGAAATGTGCATTTGCACAAACATGCATCAACTTCCTTGGACATGTCGTCAGATGTGGAGAAATTAGTATGGATAGCGACAAGATAAAAGCTATCCAAGAATGGAAGGTTCCTACTTCCGTATCTGAGTTGCGGTCCTTCTTAGGACTAGCCAATTACTATAGGCGGTTCGTCGAAGGGTTTTCACGACGAGCCGCCCCATTGACAGAGCTGTTGAAGAAAGACCACCCTTGGTTGTGGTCGAATGATTGTCAAATGGCCTTTGAAAATCTGAAAACAACCATGACGAGGAGTCCTGTCCTCGGGTTGGTAGACGTCACAAAGCCATTTGAAGTAGAAACCGATGCTTCCGACTTTGCTCTTGGGGGAGTCCTTATTCAAGAAGGCCACCCCATCGCTTACGAAAGTCGAAAGCTCAACGATGCCGAACGAAGATACACTGTCTCTGAGAAAGAAATGTTGGCCGTAGTCCATTGCCTTCGAGTCTGGAGACAGTATCTCTTAGGATCACAGTTCGTAGTGAAGACTGATAACAGCGCCACTTGCCACTTCTTTGATCAACCAAAATTAACAGCAAAACAAGCCCGGTGGCAGGAGTCGTTAGCCGAATTCGACTTCAAGTTCGAACACAAAGCAGGAAAGAGTAATCAAGCAGCCAACGCGCTGAGTCGGAAGGGCGAACATGCGGCCCTGTGCATGTTAGCCCATATTCATTCAAGTAAGATCGATGGATCGATGCGCGACATCATCAAGGAACATTTACACAAAGACCCATCGGCCAAAGCTGTTGTCGAACTAGCCTAAGGCTGGAAAGACACGGCAGTTTTGGGTTGAAGGGGACCTCCTGATAACCAAAGGAAACAGATTGTACGTCCCAAGAATAGGGGAGCTGAGGAAGAAGCTCGTTCAGGAATGTCATGATACCTTGTGGACTGGACATCCTGGGTGGCAAAGAACATACGCCCTAATAAAGAAGGGGTACTTCTGGCCAAACATGCGAGACGACATCATGCAATACACCAAGACGTGCCTCATCTGCCAACAGGATAAGGTCGAGAAAGCCAAAGTCTCTGGACTCTTGGAACCTCTACCTGTGCCAACAAGACCCTGGGAAAGTGTATCCCTGGACTTCATAACACACCTCCTAAAGGTCGGGGAATATGACGTCATCTTGGTTATTGTAGACCGATTCTCCAAATATGCGACATTCATCCCCACTCCCAAATTATGCTCAGCGGAACTCACAGCCCAACTGTTTTTCAAACACGTTGTAAAGTTATGGGGCATTCCGTCAAGCATCATCAGTGATAGGGATGGCAGATTCATTGGGACATTCTGGACTGAGTTATTCGCTTTCTTGGGAACAACCTTAAACATCTCCTCGAGTTATCACCCTCAAACCGATGGACAGACAGAACGGTTCAATTGCTTGCTCGAAGAATACTTACGTCACTTCGTCGACGCTCGCCAAAAGAACTGGATACAATTGTTAGATGTCGCCCAATTTTGCTTCAATTGTCAAACCAGCTCATCTACAGGGAAGAGTCCCTTCGAAATTGTAAGTGGACGACAACCGGCCTTACCCCATATTATTGATCATCCTTATGCAGGAAAAAACCCTCAAGCTCACAACTTTACAAGGGAATGGAAGCAGACGACGAATATAGCCCGGGCATATTTAGAGAAGGCTTCCAAACATATGAAGAAATGGGCGGACAAGAAGCGTCGCCCCCTTCATTTCCGTGTAGGAGATCAAGTCTTTATCAAGCTGAGACCGGAACAGATCAGATTTCGTAGCCGAAAGGACCAGAGACTAGTTCGTAAGTACGAAGGCCCGGTTGAAGTCCTTAAAAAGATCGGGGCTACCTCCTACAGAGTTGCACTACCCGCGTGGATGAAAATCCACCCCGTCATTCATGTGAGCAACTTGAAGCCTTATCACCCTGATCCAGACGACGACCAACGAAATGCAACCACAAGACCGAACATCGATCTGAAGCAAAAAGAAACAAAGGAAGTGGAAGAGATCCTAGCCGACAGGGTTAGGAAGATAGGAAGACCTGTACGGACGATTCGTGAATTCCTTGTCAAATGGAAGAATCTCCCTATGGAGGAAACAAGCTGGGAACGCGCCAAAGATCTGAACTCCGCCGCCACCCACATCGCAAGGTATGAAAGTAGTCGGTTGACAGGGACGTCAACCAATTAGGTGGGGGAGGATGTCACGGTCATGCTTGTCCAGGGCATATTGCCCATGGCCGCATGCCCATGACAAGCCAAACCCTTGTCATGTCTTTTCATTCTAGTGTTTTTCCTTTTGTAATTCTAAAGCGTATGACACCTCAAAAATATCATGTCTAGGCCTGCCAGAACTAAAATGGCCCAGAATGTACTATAGGGGGATATGACTAGTCGTCAACTTCTCCCTACCCAAGGTTATATATGCTAAGCCATTGTTATCTTTCTCTTGTTTGCTTATATAACGTCTCTTTCTAAAATCTCTCTTTCTAAAATCTCTCTCTCTCCTCGTTTTCTAAAACCTTCTTTTAAAACCGAGGCTAGAGGCTTGACCGTACGTCGCTTGGCCGTAGGCGACGCAAGAACAAATAAGCTGAACTCGCTTGTCGCTAGAAAGTGAGTGCCGCACAATCGCTAGTCCGCTGCCTTCGAAAGCGCGATTGTGTCACAGCGCGCGTCTTCCCTGCCTCATGCGCGTCGTACGCGTGTAACACCTTCCCAGGCGCGTGCACGCGCGTGAGGACTTAAATAGAGAAAATCAGTATTTGTAGACATGCTAATGGTATAGAAGCGCTAAATGAAGAACACGCGTCAATCAGGTAAGTCACCACACTGAACTTTAGGAAGAAATACTTGTAGGAATCGCTTGGTTATGCATGCATGTTAGTTTAATTACCTTAGGTGGTAGCTTTCCATGATTGAATGTAAATAATTTGATTGTTAAGAGTATGGATGTATTGTGTGAAGTATTATGGGAATTATCTGAGTGTTGCTATTATGTTTTAAGCTTCGCCTTTATATGTAAATGTTTAATTCATGCTTAGAGGAGAATGAAAACTTGTGAACTCTGAAAGCTCCGAGATGTTATCGCCCCGTTGAGCATGCATGTTTATTTTGCATGAATTTTGTATGATGATACTGGATGATAGTTGTGTGCACACTCAGTTAATTTCCACTACTCACAAGAATGTTAAAGTCTAGGGATTTTTGGTTAGAGCGACCAGTCACTAAGCATAGACCTAACCTTCCCTAGAAGCATAAGAAACTTCCACGGTAAGCAAAACCACCTCTAGAGTACCATTAGGCTACTTGTGCGTGGGTGGTGTTATAGCTTCGTGGGGGACCAGCGGGTTCCTGATCAGGACTCGACTGCTCGATAGCCGTTTAGTATGGGAAACGGGATACCCACGTCGTAATTGACCATTTAGCTGGATGGAAAAGGGGAGGTAGCCCTCCCAAATACAGGGGGATTATCATGGGACTAGGGGGTTGCAGCTCACTTCCTAGACGAGACCCCAGGTAATCTCATACCCATACCGAGGTAGCCACTCGCAAGGCTCCAGTCCAACACAGGTTAGCATAAAAGGAACTCTAGGGGTATAAATGAAAGGACGAAGACAAAAGAAGCCCCAAGAAGCAAGTCCCAAGGGGGCAAGACCTAAAGAGCTAAGACTTGAACCAGAAGTCCTGAGCCAAAGAAAAAGACCGTGGAAGTTTGTCAAAATTTGGATGCGATAAGAGCCTACAAGTAGGTGGCTTACTGAGTATAAATTTTATACTCATTCTTTTCTACTTTTTTTTCCAGATACCGGTCGAGGTGGAGGAGCGTTTGAGAGCTGTGCGGTCACAGAGGGGGTCGTTCCGGAGCGTCAGTCCCTTGTCGGTCTTTTTGAGTCTTTTGTATTTCATTTTACATATGTAATTTCCTTTGTATTATTTTCGAAACAAATCTTCTCCCTCTTCTGTTTGAAATAAATGGTACTTTCTTATTTTACTTCACTTTTCTTTTCTTTTATTTTCTTTTTCTTTGTTTTCGATTTTGTCTTTTTAGCCACGATTCGAGTTTTCGATGCCTCGAAAATCGGGTCGTGACATACGGTAAGACCACTTACTTGTTTGGCCTTAGCTGGCGTTTTCCTAATTTCAAGTTTGCTAAGCTTCCATTCCTCGAAGTTGCTCCAAATGTCGCTAGAGACCGTTTTCTATTATGTCGTTCATCGCTTTTTGTTAGTATTTCACAATCCTAATATAATGCAATTTAAATTTGTGAAATAAGACATTATAATACCTCTATTACCTTCATAAGGATCAAAATTAGCTTCGAAAAGGTAAAAAACGTAAGGATTGGTGTAATTTTGTACAACCCGAACTAAATAACAGGTTTTTTGCACGTAAGGTTGGAGCCGAGTCGAGCCGATTCAAGCCGAAACGTGGCGCAATGGGAGAGGGACACATTGCGACTTATCTCTCAAGTTGAGGCGCTGGTTCTGGTCAGATGAAATGGGCGCGCGGGTCACAGTTGCGGCAGGCGTGGGCTGGAATGACTCTCAGACTGTAGGCATCACGGGTTGGATTGGTTTGTTGTGGACTCTAGGGCGAGGCTGGTTGCGTTACAGGTTGTGGGTTAAATCCAACCCGAATCCGGATTTGACAGATTCGTCTTCCTTGCCCAACTTCTTGCATTTTCCGATTATGTTTGTCTCTCCTCTGTACATCGTTTCCAACGCCGTTTCTCGTCCTTTTTCTTCCTCTACCTCTATGTTAGCCTCTCTTCTTCCCTTCCACGAAGTTTTATGACTTGTAGGTGCCTAAAACAACAACTCATGAGATCCTCAAAAACTCAAAACTCAAATTTCGTTTTCCAAAGACGTACCTTTGGTGTGCATACAGATGTCGATGATCAATTTCGTGTCGTGGTCCTTTCGTTTTGTGAGTTTGATCTTTGCCAGAAAACTTCGCCGAATCTCTCTCTCGCTTTCTCTCATGCAGGAATGCTGTGAGGGTTGGTTGGAGCATGGGTGTTCGTTTGGCGATTCGTGGAGCGTGCATGCGCTTCTCCAGTGCATTGCCCGAGAACTCCAGCACCTCACTAGAATTCTCGAGCTCCGACGACCACTTTTCTTTTCTTTTTCATAAACAGAACATTAAAGTAGTATAGTATAAGTATCAAAAGTATTGTGATAACATTTTTCCTACCATACCAAACACAATTATATGATTTCCAAACATCTCATTTTCGAACCTTCATTTTTAAACCAAACCATGTCTTAAATAAAATCTCAAAACATACAATGAATTTAGGAGTAATTAAAGCAATTAATACTATTATTATTTGGGTGAGTACCAAGTCCTAATAGGGAGGCTACCCAATACAATAATGTTATTATTATAATAATAATAATAATAATAATAATAAATGTTTTTGGGGTTGGAGAAAGGTGTTCACATGTCTCATTGTTTCCATTAAAAACAATTATTGTTCCACGTGCATTTTTCATATTTTAAATTGAAAAACGTGTGAGAATTGATGCATCAATTGAGTGTACATAGTCAAGATTGGGTCGGGTTGAGAGATTTTTTTTTTACCCAACTCAAAAGTACAGATTAGTTAAATTGGTAACCCAACCAAAAAATTGTCACACCCCAACCCAACCCTCTATTTTTGGGTTGGATTCCGGTGGTTCAAAAAAAATTATTTTTATTTTATTTTTTTATTTATCCACCTTTTATATATTTTTTAATAAATTTTAAATAAAAAAAATAATTAAAAATTCACCAACAAAAAAACTAGAATTACTTGTCTCAATCCTACCATAATAAAAAAATTGGTCAAAATTGGGTGTAAGTGTGAGGAAGTACCACAAAACTCATTAATGTAAATTTTTTTAGTATATTTTATGTATTTTTATTTGACTCGAGTCAACTCGAGGGTTTTGTCATGAACCCGGAATCAAACTGAGTCAGTTCGTGTTCAGGAAAATGAACCAAAACCAACTCGAAAAACTAATCCAATCCAACCCAACCCAACCTTTATAGTTCGGGTTGGGTGAGTCTGGATTGTCAGGTTGAATGTACACCCCTATGCATCAATAATTTTTAATTTGAGAGTTCAAATGAAATTTTATAAGTTTGTAGGCATGTGAATTAACGTTACATTCGCTCGTAAAAGTTTAGAATTTAAATTAATACAATTATTTATTTAGAATTTTAATTGATACATCTATGACTATTTAGTAAAGGTGTTCAAAAGATTCGATGATACAAAAAATTCAATCAACCCAACTTGTACGATTTGAGTTGAATTTGGTTCAAATAAAGGACTAAGTTGGTTCACGTGTTCTCTTAAAATTAAATTGGATTGAACAGAACTAACCCGAATTTATGGTTAAGTTTAAAAAATGCATTTTTGGGTACGATACAATTATTATTTAATTACTATATTCATTCCGTAAAATTTAATTAAATATTTAAAAATAAATAAACAAATGTTTTATAAACTAACCTTTTACCTCTATTAAAAATAAAAATAAAAATAAAAATAAAAATAAAAATGGATAGGGTTAGATACACAAAAATAAAAATAAAAAGTGTGAAATAAATTTTAATTATTTTTAAAATTTATTGATTTATTAGATATGAAATAAAAAAAAGAAAAAAATAAAAAATAATTTTTAAAATGGAGAAGGGTATAATGGTAATTTAAGAAAGTTTGAACATTCCGTATTGGGGGTACAAAAATTTTGAACATTCCGTGGTTAGTCCTATGATTGTGGAGGCAGTGAAGCTTGTGGCTAATAGCGTAGCGGGCGGTGCTCTCTGAAACTGAATCAGACAAAGAATGCCGCACTTCGCACTGTCACAAATGGTTTGAACTTCCAAATTTCATTTTGTCGATTACCGAAGCAAGCACGATCCGACACCTAATCTCCCCCCTCCTCTCTCCTCTCTCTCTCTCTCTCTCTCTCTCTCTCCTCCTGCTATTTGATTCAGAGGCCAACAGCTTTGGCTCAATGTCCATGGATTTGTTCTCTGTTAACACGAGCTGACGTTGTTTGCGTCGTTTGAGAACAAATTCCATGGTCAAATTGCTGTTGCGAGCTCCTGTTTGAATCTGAAAGAAATCCCAGCTTCAGACGGTTTTAGGGTTTTTTTTTTTTCGTCTTCTTATTCTTCAAGGAGAATTCTATCGTTCCTAATAATGCCGGTGCACGGATCCAAATCTGAGAAACCAGATGCGGCGGTGTTGCACCGTCGAGATGCGTATGATTTACTCGGTGTCTCCAGGAACTCCACGGACCAGGAAATCAAGAGCGCTTACAGAAAATTGGCTCTCAAGTACGTTCTAAATATCAAATGTTTTACCTCTGTTTTCTTCAATTTTTTTATGGCTATAAAGAGCACTTTCATATTGGAACATTGAGTTCGTTTGCTATCAATTTTCCTAAGCTTTATTCTCAGGAGACATGGAAGGGTATTATTGTTTTTTCCGGTAGGATAGGATTTCATGTAAAGTCATATTTAGATTGTTCCCCAACTACTGCACTTTAACCCTTTACAAAACGGCAGAGCATCGGTTTGTGACTTACCGACACCTAACTGTAGCACTGTGAATTGCTTATTCTGCCCCTCCCAACACAAGTGGGAATGAGTGCTAACAATCTTAAGAATTCCTTGTTAATTCTTGGTTAGACTTTCAGCCCGAGGTTGTCAAGTTAGGGGGATTAGTAGCAATGGAAAATCTTAATTTTATCATACAATTGTCATATACAAGGTGATGGTGTTTATACAATTAGCATCCTCAAAGTAGATTGGGCTTATATTATAGTCCAGAAATGTCTGAAATTATCAGAACACTAATATAATCTTTCCTTGTCTTGATAGCTTGCCTAGGAAGTATCAAGAATTTCCAAAAGAAAGTAGTGAATTTCATCTGTTGTACGTTCAAGCAACTTTTATGATAGTTTAATCACCATTGTTATTCCAGATCACCCAAACCAGTTTTCTATGCTTAAAATAATTCTTGCGTGGAATATCATTTATGAAGTATCATATCCGTTGATTCTTGATTACAATTTCCTGTGAAACCCATTATCTCTTCTTTCTTGTGATGCACCAATGTGCTCGTTAGTTAATCTGTTCCTTGCATAATGAGTGATGAAACTCTATCAGGTAATATAAGCATGCTTACAGTGTGATATGTTACATCCTATAATGGTAAATTATGGCTCTTTTTAGTATTGCTTCATGCCACATGTTATTATATCAAGGTGGTCTTCATAAATTTTTTGGTTTTTAATCCTCTTTTACTAAATATGTTGATAGATCATGAAACTCTAATTCTAAAACCAGGTATCATCCTGACAAGAATGCAAACGATCCCAAAGCTGCTGAAATGTTTAAGGAAGTCACTTTTTCCTACACCATTTTGTCAGATCCAGAAAAAAGACGACAATATGATGCTGCTGGATTTGAGGTGAAATATCGTTCATGTGAATTTGCACATTTTAGGAAAATTACCATGTTCAGATGTGTGTTTATTTAACAGCTGTACTTTGGGCTACAGATGATCTTGGAGAACTTTGACGATTTAGCCAACCAATTTATAATAAATATCTAATCATGAAGTCAGCAAATTCAAAAATAAATAAACAAATAAGTAGGACTAAACAAAAATTCATTAGTACTAGTCCCTCGCAAGATGAAACAATTTAGACTAAGTTATTCACTCTTTTTCTATTTACTAGGTTTTAAACCTTGAAATTAAATATTAATTTTTTTTGTATTTTCAGAAAATCTTGTGAATGTTGTTAAATTTAAAATATGTAATTTGAAGGAAAAAATTAAAGAAACTATTAAGAAGATTAATATATTTATTACATAATTACAATAACTATTAAATAAGGGGCCAAAGAAAATCAAAAGCTTCTCCTCTCAAATCCCATCTAAAATATAGTCGATTAAAAAATTTTAACTAAACTAAAATTACTAAAATAT